TATATATATATATATATATATATATATATATATATATATATATATATATATATATGTTTAGATTAGATTATCACGTGGAGTTAGAGTTTGATTATATGGTTATCAAGTGGCTTTGCCGCTGGATGCAGAAAAAGTTGTACAGAATAAACATTTGTCTCTTCCAAAATATTTATAAAAAGTTTGATTTAAGAGAAAAAAAAACATACATCAGGGGATTATATTAGGATTGAATAGGTCTTAAAATGCAATGACATGGTTTATTAGATATTATTCTGAATTAAATTATTTTCTAGTTATCTTAACTTCCGTGAAATTCTAAGGTTCCAATAGGACAGTTAATCTTTTTATTGAATATATTGGAGGTTTTAGAAGGCTTGAAAAGAGACAACATATCATTGTTAGTATTCAACGTCAAAAATCCCTTTATAAGACTTCATTTCAGCATCCAGAAAGGCTGCAAAGTTTGTCCTCTGTTTGTTTATTTGTCGCTTTCGTATATATATATATATATATATATATGTTATTTTTTCGGGCTTTATTCTCTTTTATCAAATTGGTCTCGGTATTTTTCATATTTGAAAGTGCGTTGCGATACTTACAAATATCATTTTTTGAATGTTATAAGCGTGTATCGTTTCATTGTGATCTTTAAGCCATATATTTCTTTTCGAACTCAGTTTATACACATTTCTTCAAACAGGTCACTGTTAATGAACATATCTTCTCTAAAGTTTTTCTGGATTGATAATAGATTTATCAGGTGTCGTTAATGTTGTAAATGCAGAAATTTTTTGAAATGGCGAAATCAAACAGTATTAAAACAAGAAATCGATCAAAGTAAAAGAAGCAATACTAACTTATCGTCAGTGATTTTTAGTCTTTTAATATATTTGGAGGATTTTGCTCCAAGTACGTATGTTTAAGATTTTAGTTGTATAATGAATTTCATGACTAGTTATTAGATTTGGAAAAAAGTTTGGGAAAAATTTAACTTCCCAAACAACGCTGTATCCTCTCTGATATTAGGCTTTTTACAAATATGAATCGCTGGCTGACTTGTGCTTACCGTATGCTTATAGGAAAATAAAGAATTTCTTTAAAAATAAAAAGATTTAATTTTCAATCTCCCAACTGTCGCCTCGTTGCAGGACGGTGATTTATTTTCTGCTAACTGATGATGATGATTTTTTACAGATTGTTGTAAGTTGCAGGACGGTGATTTATTTTCTGCTAACTGATGATAGAATGCTATAAGTTGTCGTTACCCAACTGTACATTTTATCCGTTAAAAATGCAAAAAAATACAGCGATCATTTAGAAACAAATAACTCTTCCAAAAGAATGCAACTCTTAAAGATAATAGGAATCATAAGAAAACGTTAGAATGCTCTTGAACCTTCTAAGTAAGAATTAGGTAATGATTGTTTGACTTATTGAACATCATGTTGTGACATGTTAGATCCAACGCTTTAGAGCAAAAGATTTGTTTAATGCTTAGCATATTCTTCCTTCCAAAAAGCTTAATTAATTAATTCTGTATTTTTGTTAAGTTGTTTAATGAACACGGGGAAATGATGCAGCAATGATTTCTTTGTAATTCAGATGTAAAAATCATGTTATCATGTTACTCTGTGAAGATATAGCTATAAAAGGTTCGTAAGAAAATTGATATATTAAAAACCATGAAATTTAATTAATGAGTAATGACTCAGTGAATGCCATTATACTTCTTAATACTTCCATTTAAAATTACCTAAAATATTTCTATTTGTTTTTCAAACAAGTTGTCTAAATTTTAAATTTACAATTTTTGTGTAGGGTGCATTGATTAAATGTCAGCTGTAAACTGTTCAGAAATAATTTTTTAAAAACAGGTTTGCTATGAATTGTGTATATACGTTTACGTTTATATGGAAGCGGAAGTATCAAACGAAAAATAATTTTCATTTTCATTTTCCATCGATAAGTAACGTTCATTTATTATTGTCACTAATGAAAGGATGAAAGATGGAAATAAATAAAGGAAAGAAAAGGACAGATGGATGGACGAGAAAGTGGAACAATCTCAAATACTACCAATTTGGAAGTTACCTTAATACGGAAGTGAAATGTTTCGAAAATTTTTATCAGTAGAATCAAAAAATAATTAGCAATTTTTTCTTTTTTCTTACTCTACAGGTAAATGCGAAAAATGACTTATAACTTTATCTTAATAATAATTTAAATGATAAATTTGGCAATTATCAACAATGAAGTATCGTTTAATTTTCAATAATTTCTCAGTTTACAAGTAATTTTCTGAATACATTAAGCTCTGTATTCCCAATGCAAGTTTGCTAACAAAGCTTAAATAATATAGTTATCATGCTATTTTTTGAAATTGAATTTATTTCAACAGACAAGTATTATCATAATTACTTTACTTGAATAGTTTTTGTTAATAGTTGAATTCATAAAGGACTTCGAAAGCATAGCTTATCTATTTACAAAGTGCTCTTCTGAAATTTCAACTTATTCGTGCAAATTTACTTTTTTATTTGCATTAAAATGAAATGTAATGTGGAGAAGATTTCGAGAAAAAAAAAATGTTTTCTTTATTGGAGCATTAGGAAGAAAGTTTTGAAACAATTTAAAAAATATACTATGAACCGTAAGCGATAATGATTATATCATCAAAGAAATGTAAGAAGATGTTGATGATTTTAATTCTTATTCTACTTAGTATGTATGGATTGAGCATTGAATTGGTTTATCGTCGAGTACCATCCTCGAAAAAGACACCACCATCGATGGCACAGTATTTCGGACAGATACCTTTTTCACCAGGTGCACCAGGTTGTCCAGGTTCTCCTGGTGTTCCAGGTTGACCATCGGGACCGGGCTCTCCTTGCGGCCCAGGCGGTCCTTTTGGTCCCGGTGGTCCTGGTGGTCCATCGGCACCTGGTTGTCCCGGTGGACCTGGTGGCCCAGGTGGTCCTATATCGCCTGTAATATTTGTATAAGTTCATATTGACCTCACATATTTGATAATCCATAATTTTCTTTACAATAACTCTTCACTTTTCTACGATTTTAAATCGCATAATTACCTGGTGGTCCAGGTTCACCTGGGATGATATCTTCGCTTGGTGCATCCTCTCCTGGTGGACCAGGCGGTCCTTGTGGCCCTGGTTCTCCAGGAGGTCCTGGCGGTCCCTTCGGCCCTTCTGGACCTGGTGCTCCGGCTGCACCTCCTTGTCCTGGTAGCCCGTCTGGTCCTGCATCGCCAGGTGGTCCCTGTGGCCCAGGTGGCCCGGGTGGACCAGGTGGACACGGCTGACATGGTGGTGGTGTAACTGGTTCACACGGTAGACTTGGCGGTCTTCCTGGATTTCCGGGTATTCCTGGCACACCGGGTCTATAATAAACGACAGTCAGGATACATTTGTAATTATAAATTATTTCAAATTCTAGGATGAGCAGTAAAAAGCAGATTTAATAACAATTTAAACTAACTATCAAATTAAATCATTTATAATTGCAAAAGAGTAACTCTTCAAATCAGGAAACAAATTTAACAAAAAAGTTCCAAATTACCTTCCAGGTTTTCCAGGTCTACCTGGTGTTCCTTTTGGACCTGGTGGACCGGGTAAACAGCAACCTTCGCAACTAGAAGTTTGCTGAGTAGCTCCATCGTCAGAGTCTACACCTGCACTATATCCTGCTTGCCTGGTAGTACGATTCCTCGGCATTTGCTTCAAATGACCTACTTCCATCCAGATATCTTTTGCTGATCCCTGTAAAATTAATGATTAATAGAAAACAGTTGTCTATAATATCAGGCCAAGTAATCTTTCAACAAAAGTTAATTATATTTTCCCAATGAATTGATTATACTTTTTATTTTTAACTTTTATTCTAAGTTTTTCTTGCTTATCGACAAATTTATCACCGTATTTTAATACAATCTTGAAAGAGAAATATTATATTAGTTATCAAGCTATATGATCCAAAATGATCATACAATGAGGTCAATCATATGATCCAGATGACCATAAAATATGAGAACATTTTTTTTTTAATTCATAAATTCATTGACAATAATAATAAGCGCATGCAAATCGTATCTTTATGAATTACAATAACTTCATCATAAATACAAATTATCACTCTTCTTCATCTCCCTTACACAAGGTGGAAATAAATTATTCAACACAAATTTCTTTTTCAACAAATTTTCATTACCTACAAATTCTATTTTACCATAATGATCTGTTTTAAAATTAAATTTTCTTATAGAATTGCAACCAATCAAATAAGTGCACACAAAGACATTTGTTATTTCATAAAAATTGTTTAGTATCCTAAATAAATATCGCAACTTTTATTCATATTTTACAATTTTTTCTTATTATATTTAAAAAGAAAGAAATGAAAAAAAAAGCTCAAATTTTTACATTTCTTTTTTCTTTTTTCTAAGAAAAAAATATCCGATTTGGTCATATTTTTAAAAATAAATTTGTTCATTAAAGAGATTTAATGCATAATTAATGACTGGTCATCTTATGGTCATTAATAATGATGATAATAATGGGATTAAAGACGAAAATAATTTTAACAGAGGAATCTTGTGAAATTTTGATGATAAGAAAATCTCTAAGTGTAAATTATTCCCTTTGAAAAATTTCATTCTTAATTTCTTTTTTTTATGCAAGGTTACATTTTATAACAGCTCAAATTAAAGCATTCCGTCTACCATATAATGCGATAGTTTTACTATGACATTAAAAATTTAGCTGTGACAAAAATCATTAATTTTTTTTTTTTAGTAAACTAAAAGTGTTATGCACAATGTAAAAAATCAATGTTTAATTATCAAAATAAAAGCAATCAATAATCCAACAAATTAAAAATTAATGAAAATGTAATTAAGCTATTACCTTTCATGTACTAAAATAATTCTTAAATAATTTGAGTAAACAGAATGCAAACAATAATGTTTGTTAGCTGTTAAGCTTATTGTATATTTATTAGCTGATCTTTAATCTTTCGATATAATATGAACTATCAATATTTATTAAATAAATATTTTGCATAGAAATTATGATCCTTTATTAACCTCATATGTAATTAGTTTACCTTGCAATAATTAATCTCAGATCGCATTTGTCGTCGAGCATTATAGACATAATTGTATACCATTGGTAACGTTACACAAACTGATAATACAGCAACAGTAGAAAATGTTACCGCTGCATAGGAGACAAATTTATAAGCTTTTATACGATTATCAAAATCCATCCTCGATTATCGAGATCTGGTCAATGAAGTAAGTTCTTCAGTCTTCTTTTGATTTACTACAACTACTACTACTATTTGGTACTGCAACTGCTACAACGACACTGATACTTATGCAATCTTTTCAACTATTTATAGCGATTTCTTTTTTTTTTTTTTTTTTTTGCTGTGACATATCGGAAAGAAACGTTCTTGATAGGATCATATAATTTAAAAAGAAATGAATGTGAAAGACGTGGGCGGGGTTGTTTTGCAACAGGTTTATTGTATCTTAAAGAGAAGGACATCAATCAATGTTT